TCTTTGTTGGAGACTTAACTCTTAACAAAAACTAAAAAGGGTTTCAGACTAAAGGCGCAGTGGCAGCTGAGCGTCAAGCAGCCCAGCTCTCCATGGGCAAATGACTTAATTGGCAAATTTGCATGTTTTCCATTTGCGAGGAAATTAATTCAATAAGACCTACATGTAAAGATGTTTAATCAATCGTTGTTTTAGTGTTGGTGAAATAATTCCCCAGCTTATAGCTATTGATTTTACGTCTGTGATCCAGCTCTCTTGCATCACTGCAAAGACTTTATTACATTTTGAGGCATCTGCAAAATTCATTTTCTGATTAGCCGATACTTTGAAGCCCAGATCTTCGCCTAACAGGTGGTAAACTGTAACATGTAGCGAGGACGAGGCGTCAATATGACAGTAGTTTCTTTTACAGTTTAGCTGAATTAAGTAAAAGCCATATTTTTCTAAGTCCTTTCTCCCCAGCCTTCACTCAGGTAATTGGTCATTTTGCAGCCAATTTTGGGCAGGTTGGATGCTTGCTGCCATGGCCTGACCCCTGCTGCTGCTGTAATGGGGACAGCATTTCTACCAGTTCACTGGGGGCTTTTCCACACTGTGACCCCTGCTTTCTGAGGAGAGGGCTGCTCTGAACACTGAAATGGAAAAGGGAGTTGAAATGTGACTTTTCAGCTCTGCAACGAGCAGCCTCGAGCCAGTCAGCCAGCATTACATGTGGGTTAATTATAATTCATTTCATCCACCGAGGAAGTTTTTTGTAGTTGTAGGTTATCATGCTGGAGACCAAAGACTTGGATTTAGGATTTTTCACAGATGTTGTGCGCTCGAAGAAAGAAAAAAATAAATGAGTTAGAAAGCAAAACAAATGTGCAGGAAAAAAAAAAAAAAAAGATGTTGGATTTAATTCCACTTCCTCCGGCTGGTTTTACTATCACCAGGCTGCAGCGCTGAGTAACAGAGTCAGTTATCCACAGAGCAACAAGTCCAGTTTGGAGTCCAAGAAGCCTTTTGGTCATTACATCCCAAAATGATGTGACGCAGGAGCTCCTGAAGTCATCAGTGCCTGGAAACAAACCAAATCATCATTATTATCCTGCACACAACTTTTTAAAAATCACCACAATTTCTTGGTTTATTTATTTTACTGTCCTGTAAAACATTTTAAATTATTTCTTTATTTTAAAACAAGGAAATAATTAGATTGTTTATTGTGTCTTTAAAACATGAGACTAACAAAGTTCTGATGCTTTAAACAAAAACACACAAATGTTTTTAATTAGGATGTAAAATTAAATGAATTAACTTTTTGCTTTATAAAGAAAAATCTGATTAATTGAGTCCCTGAGTATTTTAAAAAGAATTTGTTCTTACTATCATTTAATTTTACAAAACAGAAATTGTGACTTTGCTGCAGGCAATAAAATTAAATATTAACATCTGATTATGAGATAAAAATGTCATATATCCAAGTTATTCAAACATGTTAAATTAATGTAAGGTGCAATGATTGTGAGTTTTCATTTGACTGACTGAAATAAATTCTGTATTTTATATAAACAATCAAATAAATCTTAACACAATCCCATTCTCTCCCTGCGCCCCTCCTGACCCTCCTGATAATACAATAAATTAACCAACATAACAATCTTGTTTCTCAGATACTATGATTCATTTTTTTTTGTTTTGTTTACACATAACTCTGTAAGCAAAATCAATCCACATTTTGAAGCCACATTGAACATGAAAATAGACATTGAATCGAGTTAATTGTAGTGCATCTAGTTTTGCGTTCATTGACGCTGCAAATTACAGGATGGCAGCAAGAAGCAAAGGCAGAGAAGAAGCAGAACAAAAGGCAATTTCACTTGTTTGATCCGCTGCCTTTAAAACGTGAAACACAACCTTCGTGTAGTTTGACATTTCTGCTGGAAGTCACTCACTAAATTACATTTAGATGTGTAGCTGAGGTGATAATAATGTGTATAATGGGCAGTTTGAGGAAAGATGAGCACTGCTGTGAGGGAGAGAGAGAGGAAAAAAAACATTGTGGGGGTATGAATTAATCTATTTGAGACATACTGTTAATATATGATTTGGGATGAGTGTGCAGCATGATGTCTGGTGCATGCATTTAATTTTATTTTTAAGAAAGCTGTTCATTTTTTTTTAAACCACGTGCAAACAGAAAAAGACAGAAGCTGAAGCTGCAAAAAAATAAATCGAACATATATACAAGTGCATGTTGAAAAATTCTTGCTTAAGGAAGGTAAAACTCACATTTCCCTGCACCTCAGTAATTAATCTCACATGCAGGAGTGTGCAGGGCGCGCAGAGAGCCGAGGCTTTCACGCAGCGTGGACACACAGGTTTTTTTTTTTTTTACCAATGCACCGCGGTCGGGATAATATTTGGTGGCTGTTAAAAATGTGGGTTGGTGTGGCAGCTGAGGAGGGCTTTCTATCACCGGACTGAAATGAAGTCTGTGACATCTTGGCCCGTTTAGCCCTCCACCTCCCCCACCTCTCCTCCCCTCCCCACCTCTCTCTCTCTCTCTCTTTCTCTCTCCCTTTCCGTCTCTCCACCTCTGCACTAACCCTCAGGTGAAGAGCAGCAGGTGTTAAAACACCCTCAGCCACAGAGCTACTCACTCCTAATGAGTCCTGCCTCCGCGCTCCATCCATGCATGGAGGACTTTATTTTTAGTGCGGCTAGTTAGAGCCCTGCTTGCATGGAAAAGGGACCTGAGCTGTGGCCTGCGCTGCCCTCCTGCCAGCGAGCGCAGGAGTCAAATTATTAATGAAAGTGGTAATATTATCACACGTCTGCCTCCTCCTAATGGCACCGAGGATGGCTTTGAGGAATAAACTCCAAATAAACAGTTTGTCTTTTAAGTGAAGTGAGCAAATCTACACTAAATGATGGCGAATGAAATGAATATGCAGGATCTTTTTTTGTGCGCCAAATAAAAAAAAAAAAAGAGATCTCTCATTATTATTGCTATTATTAGCAGTATACTCCTAGTATTAGCCTATTTTACATTTTTTTTCCTGCAAATTCTGCCTCTATTCTGTTAATGGTTTTGCTCACAGCCGTCTGTAGATACTATAATCGTGGGAAAATAATGACAGTTATCAGTCGCACCCACCAAGTACCCATAAAAATCTGTCCTCTGTTCTGGAAGATGATAATTATTGGTTGTACTACCATTATCATTGTCGTTGTTGATAGAGGAAATCTTGAAGCATTTTTCGAAAGTAATTCCAGAGAAATCACTTCAAATTGGCCTATTTTAGGGGGGACAAGGGACCAGCTTTCGTTATAGCCTAATATTTCACAGAAATCTTTAAATTCAGGCATCGGCAGCCCGCCTGGCACATTGTGGCACACGCGCCGTGATGTCTGCGCCTGCATTTTTGATAACACATTTTGCAACTTGCTAGTTCTGTTTTGAGTTCAATTATGTAATTACACTGATAATCACAGTGACGGAATTTAACTGCCTTTAATTTGTTATTCAGGTGGAGACGGAGGGACTGCGGATGGAGCAGCCGGGCTGTGCTGCTGCTGCTCTGCACAGACAAACCAGGAGAAGAGCTGCAGCCTGCAAATGAAACCTAATAAAATGAAGAGCCGCTGGATACTTTCTGCGTCTTTCTCCAAGTGCGTCCTGAGGAGGCACGGATGGCTCGGATTTATCTGCTCCATCACATGATTTTTATTTTTCTAAGTAAGTGGATATATATTTTTTGTTGCTTTTGGATTGGATTTAGAAAATATAGCCAGGTGTTTAACTTAGTTGAGGAGCTAAAGGTGGAGGTGGAGGGAAGAAAAAAAATGTCTCCAGTTTTGTCAATTCAATTAAATGAAATGTCCGGGGATAATTATTCTTGTTGGTGCTGCGGGAGGCTGGCCGCACCCCATCCTCACTCAGAATAATCAAAGGTGGCGGTGTTTAACAGACCTGTGAGCGTTAATTGATTGCGACGTTAGGTGCGTAAAAGTCGTTTGGAAACGCATTTAAACAGGATAAGATAATAGGTTTCTCTGCGTTAGAACACAGGCCAAACGCTGGAGGGGAAATTTTCATGCGAGCAAGGAAAAGAAACCAGTTTTCTCACCATTATACTGCGCGTTATATTCTATTATAGTAAAATGATTCATAGCAGCAGGCAAAGATTACAACAGATTGTATTGGGGCTACTTTAATTACAATTATTGCTTTATTCTATTTGCGGTATTTTATTGGTGCTGTGGTTGTTTTTCGGTGTTATAAAACATCATTAGGCCTGTACCTGAACCCTTCCTCACTTCACATCAGAGCAAACTGTTTTACCGTCCCACTGCTGCCAGGTGTAACTGAGACCTCAAGTCACTCAAAGTGTTAAATACATGACTAATTACAGACCTACTTATGAAAATTGAACGCCAGTGTTATGCTAATACGCTTTCCTCCTGATGGAGCATTAGGAGCTTTAATCAAAAAAAAAAGAAAAAAAGAAAAAAGAAAAAGGAGCTTTAATCAAACTGGCCAGCACACAGAGCAGCTTTAACGAGGATGGAAATGTTCTTTAATTTTATTAGACGGCTGGCAAACGTCGCTTTTTAAAAATACTGCTGTAAATAATAATAATAATAATATAATAGTCTTAATAATAATATAGTGGATCTTGACATGTCAAAAGGAAATCTGAGGTTTTGTGGTTTTCCTTGACTTTATCAGCTTCTTCGGACCCAGCCCCAGCGTCACCAATCGGCTTCCCTCTTGGAGAGAGTGGACCAATCAGCGACAGTCTTTGATGAATATTCATGAGTCCGAGATTCAAACCTTTGAGCGAGTTTGTCTTGGTCCACAGCATCATTCCTAGGACTTTTCACAGGCACAAACTACATTTTCTTATGAATGGAAAGAGAAAAAATCAGTTCGGCTTAAATTGGGACCCATCCTTCACTGAGATCATAGAAGGAAAACAACAAAAGCAAGACAAGGGGAACCGCCAGAAGAGATGACAATGACTACGATTCCAGAAAGTCTTAATAGCCCCGGCTCAGGAAAAACCGTTTTCATGGAGTTTGGACCCCCGAGTCAACAAATGTCGCCTTCCTCCATGTCTCACGGACATTATCCCATGCACTGTTTACATTCTGCAGGTCATACACAGCACGACAGCTACAGTCCAGCCTCGTCGTTTCCCAGATCTTTGGGTTATCCATACGTAAACTCGGTCGGCAGCCATTCCACCAGTCCATATCTCAGTACAGTACAGACTTACCAAAACAGCTCGGGACTCACACAGACGCGATTAGAGGACGCAGGTAAGTGTGCAACAGCATGTTTGCATCTTAAATATCAACTTTCTGTGCTGCTACGGCTCCGGTACAGTCTTCACTGCATGGAAAAAAAAAAAACAGACGACCCAGATGTGGAATTAGGCTTGGTAATTATTTATTGCGTAACGCTATAAACAATGTATGCAATTAAGGGTAATTATACCTAAAGTACAGCCTGTAAAACTTGCGCTGGAGTATTCATTGCTGCGCAGCACTGTTGGCTACAACTGCCTCCTCAATTTTTTATTTTTTTCCCTCCTTCTCTTTGCTCTCCTCTGTCTCCATCAGCGCCAGAAACAGAGAAAAACACGGTGGTCGAAGGCGGAGAGGTGCGATTCAACGGCAAAGGGAAAAAGATTAGGAAACCAAGGACTATATATTCCAGTTTACAGCTTCAAGCTCTGAACAGGAGATTTCAACAAACTCAGTATTTGGCGTTACCGGAGAGAGCGGAGCTCGCTGCGTCGCTGGGTCTCACTCAGACACAGGCAAGTCTGTGGAGCTCACACATAGCTTCACTCTGCAGCAGCTGCACCAGCAGCAGCATTTCTATACATTTTAAATGCCATTTGTTTTTGTTTTTATTCCCACAACATGCATTATTATTATTGTTATTATTATTATTACTTGCAGAATTTGATACGATAATAATAATAACAACAACAATAATAATTATAATAATAATAATTATAAATACTAATAAGATATTCGGTCTTAGATATTATGTCAAATGTGAAATTTATATGCTGTTTATATTTCTCCGTCTTATTACAGTGATATAGTATAATGATTATCTACATATAAAGGCTTTATATGATGGATAATATAATATTTTGCCGTTTACTGTTTATTTTCCCAATGCGTAAAACGTGCGTAATTGTTTTAAAACAGTCTCTGACACTTTCTATTTCGTCCCTATTTTCTAACCCAAGTACATTCTTTATCTTTATTCTTTAGGTAAAAATTTGGTTTCAGAATAAACGGTCAAAATTCAAGAAACTGATGAAGCAAGGCGGTGGCACAATTGACACCAACGCTTTAGCCACTGGCCGCGGACTTTCGAGCGGCTCTCCCTCGGTGACACCTGTCTGGAGCTCGCCGACCACCGTGAAGACTTCAGTGGGCACAACCGGATCTTACATTCCCAGCTACACCTCATGGTATCCAACCACGCACCAAGAGTCTATGCAACAGTCACAGCTCATGTGAACACAGACTTTCAGCATCAGGATGGTGAAAAGCCCCGCAGGCGCTACGCGCGGCTCAGCATTGATAATGCACAACAACAATCCCGGAGTTTGCTGCTGCTGCTGCATCCCGCCAGCTGACACAGAGGCCTCCTCACACTGGATGACGGCGAGCAGAGAAGATGGAGAAGAAAAAGCAGGAGGAGAAGATGAAGAAGGGAGCTGAAAAGGCCCACAATGCGCCCAAGGGCACAAGTCCGTGACAGTCCGTGACAGCGGGAATAGTAGACAAATGGATCCTCTTTTTTTTGGCTGCTGTTGATCACTTTTATGTCAGTTTCTATTTTTTAATTCATATTTGTGTGAACAATTCTGTTGTTGAGTTGTAGGCTACATGTTTATTAGAAAAACACGTGTTTGTTTAGGCCAGATGTTGGGCCCAAGGTGATGATGACCTAAAATCAATCTGCATCCAATGACAGTTAAAGGCCAATTAGGCTGTACAGGCCACAGCAGTGTTTCTTTAACCAAATAATTCATTCTAAATCCCACCGGCAACCATCGGGCCATGACGCTTACAGCACATCCACCCACAGAGCATACTGTGCAAAGCCTCAAGTTGCTACTATGTTGTTTCTATGTGTTTGTTATTTAAGTTAAATTATTCAGACTAGTTTTTCTGTTGAGGTCAGTCTGTGTTCATTTTGTAAGCGTGTTTGAAACAACAACCCTGTGTTGTTAATGCTGCACTAACGCAAGCAAAGCTTTTCTATGCCGTGCCCCGATGTTATGTGAAAAATGTAAAAGGCCTGACGATTTGCTGCTTTAGAAAAAAAAAGAATCTCCTGAGGGTGAGCAGCTCATTTGTCACTGTATTTTGTACATAACTTTCAGATTTGTTTTTGTGCTGTACTGGATACGCTGTGAAACAGGGTTTAGGCTTTGTGTATTCGTCCAAATGTGTTTAGTCAACATAGAAAATATTTAGTTTTGTATTGATCACTTTAATTTATTTATCCGTTTCTGAAGTTTATGTACATAATGTGCAAAGTTTCAAAAAGCAGTAAAATATGATTTAAATTATGTCTAGAACGGCGTCTGATTCCTCCCCCTCCTCCTCCACCTCCTCCTCCTCCAGCCCCCCTCTCCTCCACCCAGCCCGCCTGTGAAAAGAAAAGGCTTCAGCGTGGTGCACGTTTAATGCGAGCTGACACAAAGCAGTATCATGTTGGCTATTGTAGCAGACACCATGTGAGCGCGTTTGTGTGGACTGCAAAAGGCTCCTCGTTTAGATTTATGGTCATGTTTAGCATTTGGCCTACATGCTGCTGCTGCTGCTGCTGCTGCTCACATGGCTGCAGATGTTGTCAAACCTCTGGAGCGACCTAAGAATTACAAATCTGACCTTCCATATGAAGAAAAAAATAAATCCACCAAAGTGTCCTTATATATTTCAAAGTCAGCGACGATTTAAAACATTAAATTTAAAACATAAAAAAGAACATATTGTTTAAAAAGAAAGAAAGAAGATGTCCCGACACCAGAGTGAAGCCTTTGGCACATAAAAGCAGCATCTTTTAACTTGTGATTGAAGCGCTGCGGTGCGGGAGGCCTGGCCTCATTCAACAGCATCGCTCATTTCTTTTCAAGCTTTTCTTAAAGATAATCTCTTTTCTGTTTGTCTTCAACTATCCCTATTTTTTCCCCCCCGTCATAAGAGAAGATCAATTGTGTGTGTTAAGTGAATAATTGCGCAAGAGGCACTGAAGGCAGGTGCTGCAAAAAAAAAAAAAAAAAAAAAAAAAGTCTGGATGAAGAAGCAGAGCTGGTCAGATGGAGATGAGTGAAAGTGAAAAGTTCAAAGACCTTGTTGTTTGGTTAACAGAAAAAGAAAATGCTGCAAGTAGCATCTACGATTAGATATATTTTTTAAAATGTGTTTGAATATATCTACAGACATGTTTTTTGTTTGTTTGTTTTTTTTGTTAAATGCATTTGACAAAGATGGATTTACCTGCCAAATTAAACTACATAAATACCAGGTTAGGCTACATGTTGAAAAAAAAGAAGATTTAACACAATGAAATGAAAAAAGAGGCAAAAATATCTATAAAATAACATTTATTTAGTTTGACGTTTGCATGTGGCTGCAACGAAACAAAGAATTTCAGGAAGAAATTGGTACAGCGTGACCTGCATTCGCTGTTTTGCAGCTGTCATGAAATGTTTTGTAATTCTAATGACAAATTTCATGCAATTTGTGGCAGCACAAACTGACTGAAAGCAACATCCAAAAAGGTAATTGACATTTCTTTAATTTCTTTTTTATTTGTACTTATTATTATTATTATTATTATTATTATTATTATTATTATTATTATTATTATTATTATTATTATTATTATTATATAAAATGTATAAGATTCACCATAAAGAAGCTCAGGCCTCGTTCATTGTCTGCTCCTTTTGTCACATTCTCTTTAAAAGTTGCAGCAGTCCCTTTGTGGAGAGCCTTGCATCTAGAATAGGCCTATGTATATTTCACTACCATTAAGGAAGAATATGAATTGTGCTGTTGCTGCAGTAGTGCACATAAATCTGCCTACCTAGCCCTAGAAAGGCGCAGCTGCACATCCAAGAGGGTCAGTGTTATTTCGCTGTATTCTCCCCTTGATTATACGAGCTGAGCCCATCAAACCCAGCATAATTACAGTAATTTCGCCCTTATTTATTCTAATGCAGTTTCCTATCTCTGAGGTAATTATGAGCAATTTTTTGTCGCACCGAGGATCTTTCTGCTTTGACAAAAGAGATAGTGCTCTGAAAGAAATTTTCTGCTGCAATAGAGGAGGAGAGAGAAAAAAAAAAGCGAAATAGGTGAGCTGCCATTTCGTCACTGTTCCCTCAGACTTAGCCTATGTATAAGACTGACAAATTGCTTGCAGGTGTACATCACCGAGTTGTCAATGCGAAGAGGCTTGAAAATTAGCAAAGCACAATGTAAGAGTAACGAGTGCAGCGGCTGAAGAACAACTTCTGTGTCTCTCCTTCCTTACATTTCCTCTCGGCTTGAACAGCTTTCTAAGCTATAGGAGTTCTCCCCCACAAAAGGAGCTCCTTGGTTGCGCGTCAAATGCGCATGGAGACACAGAGATAAAGTACATTTTCTCTTAAGGAACTAGGCTTTGAAATTTTTTTTTTTATGGCATCAAAGAATCAGCAACATTCACCGATCTGACTGGGAAATTAATAAACCTTGTCGGCATGTGAAAGAAATGGATAAATTAGGGTCTGCACTGTGAGGAGAATCAAGCCTGTTTCCTGCTTTTAATGATCCCCTCCCCAAAAAAAACGAAAAAAAAAATGCATTCAGTCAGTCCCGCTAAAAATTTTTTTTTAAAGAAATAAACATTTACCTTTCAGCTTGAAATTGAAGAGGCGAGCTCCCTCCCAGGATTTCCAGAAATCAGCATGGAGGCAGATGAGCAGCAGCATCCTGCAAGCACAGACACGAGATGAACGCTTAAATCCCAACAAAATGTGTCCCATGTGTTGGTCTAAGCTATAGCAGCAGAGTTCAGAATATGACTGAAAATGTCTGCTTTATTTCCCCTCTTTATAGCTGATGGGGAAAAAAATGTAGATTATTAGCATAAATGTTTACTCCTCATTACGCTGATGACATTGTGCACTCGAGATCTTGGTAATCTTTGGGGGAAATTATGAGTAATTTTTTAAAATTTAAAGCAGCAGTTACCATGCAATTCAGGCTAATTCTGCGTAGGCTCCACACGGATATAATTATCGTTGAGTCAAGATGTTAGGCTAAAAACTATGCATTGATATTCCCATTTATTATGTACATACAACTTTGACAATGTTGATGCTTGAAATAGCGGGAAATTGTCTTGTGTAAAAATTACACCCCATATTAGGACATCTAAAATTGCGAAGAATTATATAGTAATTGCAGGCTTTCAGATTTGAAAGCCAGAATGCTCAAACCAGAGCAAATGTGGATGAAATTACAGATCAGGGTATAAATTAGGATAGGGGGTATGGCATTTACAAGTTGCCTAGAGAAATGCAAAAGTATAAACCACAGCAGCTCTAATCCATGAATTAAATGACAGAGAGCGACAGAAAAGAACCAGAAATCTTTTATATTTTCAGTAAGAAAGTAATAAATGAGAATAGTAAGAACAAAAACATGGTATTATTTAAGAGTTTATTCTGATTGCCTATTATCTGAGTGCATGGTGCAGTGATGTTGCAGCTGGGTGCATACAGTCATTTACATTTGATCATTTGAAGCATATATATATATGTGTGTGTGTGTGATGTGTTAGCACAGAGCTGCTGCATGCCTGGGCTCTGAGACTGTCAGCCCCAGGGGGGAGCCTCCATCATGCAGATATAGCAACCGCTGACAAGCTACAGTCCTAATTATGTACAAGGAAACGATCCCACTTTACGGCCCGTGGTTGTTGGAAGGGGAGTGCGTGGATCAGACAGGAATCAGAGCCACAGTGAGGGACAGAGCCTCATATAAACAATACGAGTCCTGTCTACCTGCTATCTATACGTTGGAGTCAAAATAGCTTGAATAAAATTGCATTAATGTAAAATACGTTTCTATGAATTTTGTACGTGTGTCTGTGTTTTCCATGCAGCCCAAAGGACCCTCCGTGAATAATGTGGGTCAATCTGCTCGTCCTCGGAGATCACAGACTTGACTTGTGAGGCGTGAGAAATGTTTCCATGATGCCGTAGCTCCGGGCTGTCTTGGATCTAGTTCCTGTCTCTTTTTCTCTTGTTAGGCTGAGTTCATAAAACGTCTGGAAAGCGGCTCTCTGACTCCACGGAGTCTGTTGTGCTCATTCATACCCACCCTCGTCTTCGCCCTCTCGCATGCCAAGGAGTGTTGTTGTGCTCTCAGCTCAGCGGTGCAGCAGCAGCAGCAGCAGCAGCAGCAGCCCGGGGCCTCTGCCTCTGCCTGGCCGAGCCCAGCCGCGGCTCGGCTAATCAGCTGCTGACGGAACCGGGTGAAGTGAATTTAACCCGAGACAGTTCAGGAATTATCCTAAGCTTGTGAGAGCACCCTAAAGCGTTCGGGTAACTACATACAACATTTTAGAACACGCTATTAATTAAAAAGTAGCATTTCCTCCTCTCTGCTGCGGTAGCTAGCCAAACACCCGCCTAGCTTCAAGTCCAACCGTCCCGCTAACTTACAGTCTGATCTAATAGTTGCTTAGCAACACAACTAGCAGTTAGCATAAATGCTAAAATGTTACGATAATAATTTAGTTAGCAGCCACAGGTGTGCGTTCGACAGTCAGCGTTTTTACAACCAAAATGCAGGTAATTCTTATTTTGATAAATACAGTTGTTGTTTTTAATTGTTTGTAGAAGCCTACGTTTTTAAATAAAGACATTTTATTGTTCTAGTGAAGTGAACAAATAATACTATCCCGGGCTGTTTTAGTTTTCTGCAATAAAACCATTTGACGTGGAAATATCATATAGCTAGCATAAAATGCATATTATTAAAACAAACAAACAAAAACAAAACAATAACTCTAAATTTCTGTAAGTAAAACAGGATAAAATAATAATAAAAATGTCATGAAAACATATATTTACCAAGATATTATACCGGCAGTAAAAAATAAATTAGCAGGACACAAATTCTCCCATAAAGCTAAAGAAAAAGTCAGGATGCCAATGCACAGAAAACATTTTATTTAAATAACGTCTGGCCATATATGGAACACTGCTAAAATAAATAGGACCAAAAAAATACAATTAAGTGTGATACAATTAAATCAGAGGGTAGAACAATCAGTAGCTTACGGTGGATAATGAATTTGCACCAGAAAGAGTCAAAGCGACATGGGCTATCAAAAAGCTGTGGTAAAATATTTACAAACGTGGATTCAGACACTTACCCCCCAATATATTCAAATCAACTACATGAGGAATGGATAAAGGTAAGCTGTTTTTTTTTTTTGTCACACAACAAAATGAGGTCATATTGAAAAAGGCACGATACAGTTAACTTGTGCTACATTTGTGAAAGGTTGTCCTGCGATGAATGTTTTATTTTGCAGGAATGGCAAAAAAGTGACGTCCGCGTAAAAGTAGGCTTGCGCCCAGGCTGTGATTGCTTTGGGTAATAGTGGTTCATTCATCCCTCACATAAACAAAATAAATAAATACAAAAATAACTGTAGAAATCTGTGTCTACCATTTGCCAGCGCGAAAGCTGGCAAGGTCCATGAACCTGTCTGGCTCCATTAACTTCTCCTATAGATGCTTGCGCGTAAAGTTCGCATGGCACACACACGAGGTCTGTATAATGAAGGTATTGGCATTTTTCTTTTTTTTTTTCACCAGTATTGTCCGATTTAAACCCGATGTTGTTGTTGTTGTTGTTTTGTTTGTTTTTTTAAATTTCAGAATATCGTCCCAGCGCTTATGGCGGCGTTGTGGTGGTGCTGGACCAGAGGAGGCTGCAGATGCGTCGTAGAGTTCGTGGTTGAGTACCAGGAGTAGTTTGCCAAAAACGATGAAGGCGCAGTCGTGTTGGGAGGGCTGCTGCTCTGAGGTAAACTTGAGCTGACACTGTTCATTCTTTGAGTCTGTGGAAAGTCCCAGGCAGTAGTTGGCGGAGACGTGCATGGGGGAGATTCACTGGAAGCAGCGTGTTGTTCTGGGGGAATTTCTCCACTTTTCCACAACTTCTTGAACTTGGAGCGGCGGTTTTGGAACCAGATTTTGACCTGAAAAAAAAAAAAAGAGAAAGCATGAAATTGATTAACCGATATTTTCCGGCTCAAAACCTCATTCGTCAGTTTTAATTTCTTTTCATGAGACATAAAGCGGATATTTGACAGCATATGAAACCAGGTCTTAGATGTACCCACCTGTGTTTGCGTAAGGCCCAGCGAGGCTGCCAGCTCGGCCCGTTCTGGTAGGGCTAAATACTGCGTCTTTTGAAACCTCCGTTGAAGTGCAGCCAGTTGGAAGCTGGAATAAATGGTTCGAGGTTTCCTGACCTTCTTTGGTTTTCCATTAACCATCCGGATTTCTGGCTCGCTCTCTTCTTTCTCTGAGGAAACATTCAAATGGGATGGATGTTATGCATGAAGGTTTTGTTTTGTTTTTTTGGTGCATATGTTCAGTCATGTAGAACTTTTACGCGCATTTGCACTGCACTCGTTTGTTTGGCAGATTTGTATGTGACTACTAACCCAACCAACTTAGTTTGATTTGAATATTATAGGCTAACGATGTGATAAAATCCAGGTGATATTATATATATATGGGAGTTGTTAAAAATAACATCCTAGAAATTGGCTAATATTGTGTCGCCCTGTTGCGCAAACAAGAATGTTTAGTAATTTCTCACCAAATAGTCTAATAAGCGTCTTATTAGTCATGTGCAATAAATTGTTCAACTTGCCCTCTTACACATTTCCTGAGTTAAGGTCACACACAAAAGCATGCAAATCTCATAAATGGTTTCAAAATCCTACCTGTGTCGGCTGGAGTGGGAGAGGAGTTGGAACCGTAGGAGCTGTATGCACCATAAGACGAGTTGAAACCAAGGTCGTATGACTTTGCGTTATATGGCACGGAGCTCGTGGCGCTGCCATGGTACTGGTAAGAGCCGAGTTGGCCAAATGGAGACCCGGCGCAATGCCCAGGCTGCTGGCTGTTGTAGTAGCTGCTGTCCGTCGCCGTGGATACCGGCAAGGTCGGGGACTCCTGCGATTTGTGCAAGCTGTGGTAATTGCTTGAGGTAATCTGGTTCGAATGCATATCAGTATTTAAGTTCTCAAAAACCCCGGTCATCTTCGAGTTGGAGCGGAGCAGCCTCGTAGCCTATGCGCAAAAACCAAAACCAAAAAAAAAAAAAACCCTATGCGCAAAATTTACGAAACTGCAAGCTGAAAACACGACTCAAATCTTGCACTGATGACACCTGAATCAAAACGCATCCCCGTGTAAACTGTGGCAAAATCAGCGGAAGGTGTGTCCCTCTCACAGTGGCCTGTGATTATCTGCTACGGTCGGCGGTGGGAGCGCATTTATGAGAGAGTGAGAGGGAGAGCTACTGTGTCTGAGGCAACCAATGAGTAAGAGCTGCACGACTGACTACTCCCCACCGCGTCCACCCTCCATTATTTGTTCAGGTCTGTCTGTCCCGGTTGTCTGCCGACATTTTTCTCCATCAAAGCATCTTAAAAGACTCAGAGAAAGGTAGCGTGACCAAAAGTGTGGGCCCTACCAAGTAGCCTATTATTATCTCCATGTCCAATCAGCCGTATAAAGAGGATGCAAAACTGACTCAAACATATGGGTAACATGTACTGCACATTAGAAAAAGGAAGGGTTGAATTGATGCAGAAAATTGGTTACCAGTGGCTTTGCAGTCAGCCCTCTTCATGTAGATTTTATGCTTGCAATTTAGCAGACAAACCCTGGCTATATATCCATTTATTTCCTTCATATTGGTACAGTTTTGTTGGAAACATTTCTGGTGTACTGATCATCCAAATTTGAGCCTCAAAAGCCGTAAAATTAAGTGACACTAACTAAACAGGTCAGATACAAACACACACAAAAAAGAGATGGACACAGGGGAGGCTGGTCAACGGGGGAGTAAAGGTGTTGCTACTAAATCAAACCCTGTGGATGAAGGTGAAGGTTTGGTGACTGCAGAAGAAAGCTACAGCGTCCCCTGGTGATGACAAAGTCACTTACAGACCGTTTTCTTTTGCAGTCCCCTTTGTGCGTACTTGGCACACAGTAGTGGACAAAATGACCCTCAGTATGATGTTGCTCACTTTACAGGCCGTCTGAAGAGGACCACGTTCATGTGGAGTCCAAAGCGTTGTGCTGTTTCACCCTGTGATGCATTTAATGTCCTGGAACTGAGAGGTTCATGTGACAAAAGTTGCAGAGGTGCCTGTGTTCATCACCACAAGATGGCAGCACAGTTCCTTTTATTATCACAACTGGCATCGATGTTGAGTTTACTCTAATGCCACTGATTGTACTGATGAGGTTAACATGCAGATTGTCAAGTTGCTATTTTCTTCTTTTTTCTTTCTGTTGGCGAGAGCATCACTAAACAGTCCAGTATCAAGGGCACAGAGGACTTAAAAAATCAAACCTTTACTATCCAATCCACGATTCTATTGCTTTCTTTATGAATCCTGTTCGTCAGTGATACCATGAGCTCTGGTTTGCTTTTGAAGTTCTGAATTTGTTGGTATGTTATTCCATTTACTTAAATTAACATCTACAGTGTCACACATTGGATCCACAAGAAATATAAACAGTAAATTGATCCCAGACAGAAAAGATCTGCAGCAACTCCAGTTTGTGCCACATGCTCCTTGTTCTTAATGTTGGTATGGAATGCACACATACAAAACCATTGGAGGTTAACAGCTTCCAAGTGCATTGAAAGATGGAGTTTTCTCTTAAGAATGCACAAATCATCAGATTTTTAGATGGCAGCCATGAAGGATTTCATAGCATAGTTCGACATCAGGACGTGCCTGAGTTGACAAAATCCTGCTCAAAGGGATACTCACATGATTTATTACTGACAATTTCCTCTTTGATATTGATTTACTATACAGCTGTATAAAGGAAGGGCACTTGAGGACAGTTTGAAATGAGAATGATGCAAATTGAAGCTGATTTTTAGTTTCCAGGAAGAGATAAAATTCCAGAAATGCAGGAGTAATGCTAAATTCCTAATGTTGCTTTCTTTTGTCTCTGCTTGCCTGCATCTCCATGAATGTTAGGCTCCCTTTTCACATTTCATAGCACAGGCTTCTTGTTATAAATCTGTGTCCGTGGTCAGATAAAGATGGACTGACACTTTGTGTAAAATCAGTGAAGTGCTCCTTTAATTTTTCTTGTCTGTAAAAGCTTCAAGTGGTCACCATTCTGATTCTCTGAAGCATCGTTCAGTTTGATCCATTTCATTTCGCACAAGTAGTTATTTCCTTTATTCTGCCCATTTGCCAGTGAGGGCATGATGCGCTTTCTGTAGCTGCTCTGCTGACGGACCCCTCGCTCAAGTCCAGGGAGGATTCTATCAGCCCATTGTTTCCCTGAAATGCAAGCGGTCCTCTCCCACCAAGGGCCAATGTAGCTGCATGTCACTGCTCATTAGTGGAACAAAGTCTCTGCATTCAGCCGCCTGCCATCAGAGCCAGAATGAGCAAAAACTGTCCAGGCGGAGTCACGTAGAGGCTGAAAAAGGCCGTTTCTCTAATTAATTATTCTCATAGTTAACAATGGAGGTCATGGGAGCAATAATATTCTCAATACAGTTAAAAAAAATTTCAAACATAAATTTCATGACGTTTGGGGAAAAAGGTCTTTTAAATTTACTGCATTTAATTCATGGCATTTAGGGGAAGCTATGAACAACTTGGAAAACAACTGAAAGAAGAAGGAGGGTTGCTCTGGAGAATGCACAAATCATCAGATTTTTAGAGAGCACTCAGCAAGGATTTCACAACACAGTTCACAGTCAACCCAGAAATGTGCCAAAACAACAGATTCTGCTTGTTGGGCAACATGGTTCCTATCATGCCTTTTCTTTCACCTTAAAAACATAAAAATAGAAATAGTTATTTTTTGTTTTGTGCGCATTGCTGCTGAATACAGCTCTTTCTGTTTGTTATTTCTGTTATGATTTCCCCTCTGTTGCAGAGCAGCTGGTACGGTGGATCTTGCCAGTATTCAGTGACATGGAAATGATGCCAAATGACCGCACACAGATGTAAGTAGCTTTTATCATGCATTCCAAATCCCCCACTTACACAGGAGTTTCTCTTGACTTGCCTTTAGCACAACAGACAATCAAACAGCTTTGCATATATAGATCCAGCTCATTCTGTCACATCTTTGTTTATTCCTATTATAAAAAGGGACACAACAACAATATACATAATGGAGGCTTCCCCTTGTCTTTTAATCTATCAATAATTTAGTCGTAAAATTACTAAAATGCCCATTATTTAAAAGCAATGAGAACCTGGCTCCCAACTGTAAATATTTCTTTATCATGTTAAATATTTATACATCTTTGGGTATTATTCAATAAGATATCAATGCTTAAAACTTCAGTTGATCTACTTTGTCAGGACTGGTTTGATCAAAATTAATTGAGATAAAGCTCTACAACTATTTCTACATTCTTATTCCAACATTAGGACGAGGACTAAGCATCATAGGTTGAGACATTTTTTAGTGTCAAGGTTCAACATACAGTCCACATCATTAAATGTGTCTAGTCGACATTGATCTACAGCCAAATATCCTAAAAACTAACCGTCAATATCAGCCAAAGTGCACAAAACAGGAAGTCACTCTGAAAAGGTAACAACCCTGACATTCTGAGGAGTTATTGATCTTGAGCATGTGTTATCTTGTTTTTATGTTGCAGAAGCTCAAATTGCAAACAAGAACTGACATCTCCTTGACGACATACGATTTGCACTCACTAAGTTCAAGAATGTTCGAGATACTACCAAAGGTTAGGGCTCGAAAGAGAGATGGTGAAAATCGACATACCTCCCTGTGACCACACAGTGTCTACTGTCTGTTTACACTGACACTCGTGCAAAAATTATAACACAGCTGGTAATACATAAGAACAGCGAGAGGAGGGAAACTCTTCCCACCTGGAGCGGATGTTATGCTGATTATTACTGCTAATGCCAGGACATAGTGGAAAGTTTTAAATCCTGACTAAACCAGTAGCTTGTTCATAATAGTGGGCTCTGAGTAATCCATTAAATGCAAAACAATGATAATGGTCTTTGCAGGAAAGTTGGCAAGAAGCTTAGGGTGGGTATGCTGCACAAAGGTTGTACTTCACAACACCACACACCCCCAGCGATTGTATGCAAAGATTGTTCTGCATCTTTTGGTTTTCAGTATGAAAGCCTTACCTGCTCTTGCTCTGTGTTGGTGTGAGCCTCTATGTGTGGCTAAACGGAATGAGTTCTGTCTTCTTGATTTGTGGATGCAGCAGATTCTCCAAAATGACACCCATGTTCTGGCTGAAGATGATTGTATCTGGTTTTGAGGAGCCATATTTTATTCGGGATAGTGACAAATCTGTAAGTTCTTTTCTATGTGGGTAAAGACATCCGACTAAACTCCTCAGAATTTTCCTTTCCACTTTCAATAAATGTACCGAAGGGGGGAAAAAAGAAGGACTTTTCAACACCCAAAGTGTGTTAAATGTTAAAAGTAGTCAATATGATTCAAACCTCTGTTTAAATAACAGATCACAGATTAACAAAAATGTAATATAAGTTGTATATTAGTGCATTCATCACAGATGCAACCATTCAGGTACTAAGGCAGTATTTAATTTTTAGGGTAAACATTAATGAGTGTAATATACGTACTTTTGCAATTTATTTATATCAATTTAAAATGCATGTTAAATGTGCACTAATTCTAAATAGAATGATAATGCCTGGTATTATGTAGAGTTAAAGTACTGCTTTTAAAAAAATCATTATTAAATAAAGTATTGCATTTATTTATTTATTATCTTTACAACACATGCAAAATAATTCCGTTCAATTTAATTAGTATTTCAGCATAGGTGGCAAACAGAAGTATGCAGCAACATATGATTCATAGATCTTATTACATTTAGCCACATATTCAGAGTCGTTTCAGTTCATCACAGTTTGAAGTAAACTGATGTTGAATGCATTCAATGCATATTCAGCATTGCAGTAATAATATGCAATTCTATAAAACAGGTGTTTCATATTCTGTGCTGAGGGTCGTCAGGAGCTGCAGTGACCCTGTTTGCATCGCCGTGAGTGAAATGCAGCAGGTTTCTACCTCACTAGAGTGATTTGGCTGTTGGTGGATTCTCTCAGCTGATCTCCTGCTGGGTTAGTTGGAGCATTCATCTCCTTGGCAACTCAAGCTTTTACTCAAATCACATTACTGCAAGTTTTTCAGCTTT